CTTAGACCCTACAACAAGCACAAAATGGACTACAGGTCATGTGCAGGAGTCTTTCTGGGCTACAACAACCAATACAAGGGATATAAGGTCTTGCTGCCCAATAGAAGAGTAATCATCACAAGAGATGTAGTCTTTGATGAGAAGAGGTTCCCTTATGCAGAAAAGAAAGCCACAGACAATGTTGGGGCTAACCTTGAAAGGATGTGCAGTCTACCAGGAATCCCAATCATTAAGAGGAATGTTGCAACAAGTCAAAACCTAAGAAGAGAAAGCACACCTCATCCTAGTAACCAGAACCAAAGTGATGGCACAAGCATACAAACTCAAGGGAGATCCTCATCCACAAGAAGGAGCTTAAGTCCAGAGACTGCAAGTTATCCAGCAATACCATTATTTGTGGACTTACCAGGCCTAACAGATACAAATGAGGAACCAAGAAGAGATGAGACAACAAGAAAACATCACATGGTCACAAGAGCTAGAGCAGGAATCTATAAGCCCAAGGTCTATCTCACAGAATGTCAAGAGGTAGAGCCCACTTCCTTAGATGAGGCCTTTTCAGCTAAGAAATGGAGAATGGCAATGCAAGAAGAATTAAATGCCTTACACAGAAACAATACATGGAGTCTTGTTAAGGCTCCAGAAGGCAAAAGTATAGTAGGCTGCAAGTGGGTGTTCAAAATCAAAAGGAATTCAGATGGAGACATTTCTAAGTATAAAGCAAGGCTTGTAGCACAAGGATATTCTCAAAGACCAGGTTTTGATTTTACAGAGACCTTCAGTCCAGTGGTAAAGCACAATACCATAAGAATTATCCTAGCCTTAGCAGTTCATCATGACTGGAGCATAAGGCAGATGGATGTAAGTAATGCATTTCTCAATGGTGACCTAAATGAAGCTATTTTTATGAGACAGCCCCCAGGTTTTGAGCAAAAGGGAAAAGAGCATCTTGTTTGTAAACTGTCTAAAGCCCTATATGGACTCAAACAGGCATCAAGAGCCTGGTTTAGTAAAGTAAAGGAAGCACTTAAGTCCATGGGATTCAAGGATTCAAAGGCAGATAGCTCTCTCTTCTTCAAAAGAGAAAGGGGGAGTTTTCTTTTTATCCTCATATATGTGGATGACATTTTAATAACTGGAACTCATGAGACTGAGATAGAAAGCTTTATTAAGAATTTTGGAAAGATGTTTGCTGTGAAGGATCTGGGAGACATTGAACATTTCCTTGGAATTCAGATAAGCAAAAGTGCAGATGGTCTCCATCTCAATCAAGGGAAATATGTGCTTGATTTGCTGAAGAGAGTAAACATGGAAGAAGCTAAAGGAGTGCCTACCCCTATGGTATCCTCACTGCAGCTTACAAAGGAAGGTGGTGATCCCACAATAGATCACACTTTATATAGAAGTGTAGTAGGAGCCTTGCAGTACATCACTTTAACAAGGCCTGAGGTGAGTTTTGCTGTTAATAAAGTAAGCCAGTACATGTCAAGCCCCTTAGATACTCATTGGAAAGCTGTTAAAAGAATCTTAAGGTATCTAAGTGGTACAGCAGATCATGGCTTGGTTTAAAAAGATCAGCTCATCTTGATTTAAAAGCCTTTTCAGATTCTAATTGGGGAGCAGATTTAGATGATAGAAGGTCCACAACCGGTTATTGTGTTTTTCTTGGAAGTTGCTTGGTATCTTGGTGTTCTAAGAAGCAAAGCTCAGTCTCTAGATCAAGTACTGAAGCAGAATATAGAAGCTTATCTCATGCTGCCTCTGAGGTTACTTGGATCCAGTCATTACTAAGTGAAGTAGGGATGGAAATTTTCAAGACACCTGTGATTTGGGTGGATAATCAGAGTGCAGTCTTCTTGGCATCAAATGCGGTGATGCATGGAAGGACCAAGCATGTGGAGCTTGATTACCATTTTGTTAGAGAAAAAGTGGAAAAGGGAAGTATATTAGTATGCCACATTCCCTCAGCTGAACAAGTAAGTGATGTCCTTACCAAACCACTTTCTTTTCAATCCTTCTCTCGGCTTAAAGATAAATTGGGAGTGACAAGTAAAGGCTCGATCGGATTGAGGGGGAGTGTTAGCAATGCTGAAGAAATGCAACAGGAGACTAAGTCAAGAAAAAGGCACGTCGAGCATGCACCAAACAATGAGCCAGCATGGACATGCAGACAAAGAAAAGCTGCCAAAGTGAAAGCTGCAGAAAAGAACCGAACTCCCAGTTTGAATTCATTAGAACCGTAGGATTGATTTCAAATTAAGGACACTTGTCCACATGATCCACCTTTGATGTGTGTATAAATATTTTTCCCTCAGCTCATGTAAAACCTATTGAACGTTGCGTACGTGAGAAATGAAAGCTATGCTCCATTGATCTCTATCTTCTTCATTTTATTGCATTTCTTGTTTTAGATCTGAAAATGGCTATGGTGTATTTTCAATACATTTTATCTGCAGGTGTACACAACCACGCCTAATTACTGTCGTTAGCGTGTAAAAAAAAAAGCCTACTCTGCACAAACGTGGCTTTTTATGCCGGAGATCGGCAAACAAAAAAAAAAAAATCTA